TGGTATGAGAGACTGTGAGTGTCGCAGGATACTCCCAGTATAGCTCAATGGATCGGTGTGGTGCGCAAACCGTCACACCACGGCGAGGTCCAGTCTCTTCGTGACTGGACTCCACGGCGAGGTCCAGTCTCTTCGTGACGGTCTTTATCGCATACTATATTCCAAAAGCAATCCTTAGTAACGGAACTGGAAATCTGTTTTTCTCTAACGTCTCAAGTATAATTGACCTTTATTTGGCAAAATCCGTCACAATGGCTTCATCTTTTTAACCAGATTCTTCACAAAATTTACGCTTGTCTCATTGGCTTGATAACTCGGGGAATATTTAGTTCCCGCGGGTAAGGTGATAAACGAAGCCTTTTAACTGCTCACTAACTACTTGTTCTCCCTCGTCTACAAGTGCATTTGGACCGGCGTGAATAGAGTGGTAACTCAGTCACCCGTCACTTTGATCAAATTTGTTCAGTAGACATTACCACCAGAAGCATTGGATTCCCTGTTTTTTCCCCATACAGACAGTGAGTCATCGGTTTTTTTACCCGGTTATCCCGTCCATTTAATTGAGGACGATGGGAGACTAGAAACAGGAGGATTGCGCGAATCAGCTGACTGGACAGTTCGCATTTGGAACTCGGCCCTGGTCTCTTGACTACTCTTGTGTAAGCTTGGTAACCTGACCTATATCTAAGGATAACTTATGGTTATCAAAGATTACGAATTTATACCAATCTTATAAAAATTGGAAAGCTTTTGTGGAAATCTGAACTGGGTGCTATTATGCATGCTTCTCTTGATAACTGAACCAATGACGAACTGTTAAAATGAGTAACCAATGTTAAACTGATTGGTCAGACGCAACACAAAGGGACCGTCCAGGCACATTGTTGGGAGTAGTTCCACACGGACCATGGTACCTGTACCATGCTAAGCTCAGAATCTGCGCGCCTAGGAACGGTTGCTATCAGCACGCGTTGGCGAACAGCCTTCGATCAGTCCCGTGACGAGCCACTTAGCTTGATCCGACCTGGTTAATACCAGGTTGTTATCGCTTCTCTAGTGTGATAAATTGTCCCAGTTGCGATCCAAGGAGGTTTATGACTAACCACCTGTTCAACAACCAGTAAATGAGCCCGAGCTACCAGTATTTTGACACTGCCCACTGACCGTCCTTTGCGACAGTGTCCGTTCGTACGAACTACGTACCTTGAGGTAAACTCACAAGCTTTGAGCAATCTTAGATTGGTTGTTTGTTTCCCAGATATACGCTCGGCAGCGTTACCCTGTTGAATTGGATCACTGCTTGTGTCACATTAACAGTCCTTCCTAGTGAATGTTAGGTCACTTGTGGATGATGAGAATTTCCTAGAAATGTCACAGTTTGGCAACGGGGCTTCAGTACACGCTCCTGGATACCTGTAGAGCATGAATTAGATTTCTGATTTCAGTATATCAGCTGAACATGTTCCCAGTGTCCGGTATGCCAGGCTTATGTTCAGGTTACATTTTAGTTCAGTCCGAAGATTCTGCTTAATTTCTGATGAAGTTGCTCTTCTTTGCACGTATCGATGAATAGTTTCTGCAGTATGACACCTATGATCTGGAATCTATATGTCTCTTCCTCTTACATGAAGCTGAGTGGTGTATTTGCTGTGTTATGGTAGTACGAAAATCTCATCAGCATGGGTGCTTGAGCCATCTGTGGGAAATGTGTCAACCGGCGCAGATAAAATAGAACTTCTTAGTGGCTGGTATTGGGATTCACCGTTCTAGCTTAGTCACGAAGAAATCATTCAGTGTCCGACTGAGTTGAAACTGTGGATTGAAAGCATAACGTAAGATTAGCTCTTTAACATCATTCAGAAAAATAGGCAAATCAATATGAGATCCGTAGATATATGTGCACAGATGTTGTCCGGGGCGTTTGTGAACAATGACGAAAAAAACGAACGGCATCATAGTCGTATTGCTTGTGACCGTGAGTAACGTGATAACGTCAATAAATTCGAAACTAGACCGCTTCCGCGGATTATTTGGAAGAAGTATTTACCAACCGACGTCTGAGTGATAATGAGAGTTGTTCATATCCCGTATTGTGACAATGCAGCTCGTGTGCTCTTGTCCGTCCATACATGCGCGGAGTGTTCTTTCGTGCAATGGATTTTTTTTGCTTCAAGTCTCCTGGTTATTCATCTCGACTCGTGCACTTGTAGACAAATGAGTTCAGGTTTCTGTCGCGCTAGTACAATTGTATTTTGACAAAAAACGGCAAAGGCCGTGGTCGTGCATCGAACCGGTCTACTTGTTCTCAGATCCGCTGTCAGTTAGTCACTTCAGGGTCGTTTTCCATAACCGAGGTGGATTTGAGAAGAAATTCGAGCTACACCGGTTTCACAGCTATCAACGGTTCGCTAGTAGTACTCAGGTGTCCTAACATTTGCCGTCAGCTGTTCAGTGGTGAAGCAGATGCTCGAATAATGACTTACTGGAATTCACTCGGTTGATTTCATTACCGGGTGTTGTTTACGTTAAGAGTAAGTGATATGAGTTTTTGATTTTTGTTGACGGGTCTGTTCCCAAGTTTTGTTTTGAAGGACGAGAAGTCTCAGAAGGGTCTGTTTGACATTTTTATCTGGTTTCTGGAAGTGTCTTCTACTTCTGATTGAACATAATCTCATCACAGCTTAGTTTTAATGTGTAGCATTCAAAATCCTGCAAACAACTAGCGCATCTGCGTGGGTACTCTGCTGTATTCCCACAAAACTCATGTACAAAGGACACATCGCACTTGAAGTTGCTTTGGGTTTCCCAATGGGCATCCCTTTTTGTTGTAAGGGTTATTATTTTTTAAGGTCGAGGATTACTGACAACGGATGAAATCAGTCTTATTATCTGTCAGCTCATCTTAGCTTTTCTTATCATTTACATCACGGTACGTATCTGTTTACACGATGGCTGTTAGTTATAAAAACAAGTAGGTTAACCGTTTTCGCGGTTGCACAGAACGCCGCGGTATCTAGACTGACTCGTCTGCAAATCCAAAGGGCGAAAGAGTGAATGATTGTGGACTCTGTCTAAGGTCCATTGTTTTTTAACCTTTATACTTTGTACTTTATACTTTATACTTACTGGTAGCCAAGACAACAAAACCCTTCTCAAATGGGTTCACCCTGGAGGGACTACAATAATGACGAATAAGGATTGATCCCTCATCATGAGTGTCCATTCGTCACCTGTATCGTGCAACTTTTTTGACGGTTAACGCCAAATCTAGAAGATGTAAGGCTATTCACAAACCAAGCTCACCTTCTGTCAGGGCGCGCCCAGACAGTAGAAAAGCACATGTGCAGAGAGTGACGCATCCCCAAGGTCACCATCGGTTCGACACGCCCGGAAAGTAGGTGAGTTGGCGGCTCTCACCAAACGGCTTAGCAACACACGACCAGCGTAGTGTGCCTGAGAATGTTCACGACCGGAACACCACCATTGGCTGTATGGAGCGAACAAGTGAACGAGCATATTTGGCCAATTAGTCATCCTATATATTTACGCAGACGCTCTGTACGTTTTGTCCTGGCAATACAGCCTTGTCCCCAGTTCTCTGTCTTCTCCCTATCGCGTAGTCTGGCAGGCGCAGTGCAGGCGTAACCCATAGCTCGGCCACCGCAAGATACAACACCTCCCCTAACTACAAAACTTCTTGTGGGGATTTGAAGATATTTTGTTTGACTCGTTGGCATGGGAACAGCTTGACCACCTCAATAAACTTATGAAGTCCACTTTGTCTAGATCGACCCATTTAACCCAAGCTCTCACTTTCTCACTGATTACACACGTTTCAATTCCACAGTCTTTGCGCAACTATCCATGCCCTTGAACTGTTAGCTGTTCCCCGGAAGACATGTACCTTTTCTCATTATATGTATGAACGAATTTGTGATAGTCCTTGGATTTGTGATATGTGCAATTCTATTTCGAACTTGTTATGGCTCCCATGGGGCGACGTGTATCCTGTGTATCGTCGCTTCACTCTAGTTAGTTGTTGGTTAGAAATGCCTGTGCAAAATGCCTTCATAACATTATGGGTGCTTGCCACTACTGAGTCAGCACACATTGTCGCTGAAGTGAAAGGCTCTACATGCACAGTGAACCTTGACTACACTCTGTACTCAGCTTTTTTGCTAGCGAATATGTGACATACTGTGGTCGTTGTTATGGTCTGGTTCGCCCAATGACTCTTTTTTGTCATTGATCTCTATCCTATTTATTCAAGCTCCGTGCTTTTTTCCCAGTAAGCAGCTTTAGAATTAATAAGTGTAATTTTGAGGGCATGCCAAACACCGAAGTAAGATTTATCTAACGTAACCGTCCTCTTTCTTAACATTCTAGGTGTGAACATTACATTCTGGTCCAGTTTGTTTGGCTCTTGCATAGGACATACACTTGCTTTCGGCTCAAGGGCTAAATCCTCCATGGGTTTGGTTGTCATATTTGTTGGTGTTGGCGAAATATTAGGTAAGTCTCTGCATTTTGCGATATGCGCTCTTTCTCTCATGTTGCAGTCCTTCACACAACTAATTGTATGCAGAGCATAGTGCTCCCAACGCTGGTAACCTGTGATTGGCATGCATGAGTAAATCTATTGCTCTACCGATTGGAACTCGATGTTTCAACTTTTATCGAAAACCAATCAAGGTTGGTCTATTCACCTGTATTTTGGATAGATGTGTAGGCGGGAGGTCACACGTTACGAGTCGAATCATCCGCTCTCTTTTGTGCGCTCGTTGTCGACACCAGTCCTAGCCGTTGGTTCCGTTTCTAACGAGGAGCAAGGGTTGCGAGGTGGAAATTAAGTAAACTGACCGTGGTCTCCGTTCGCCATAACCTCGTTTGGTGTAAATTCATACACAATTTTGGTGTGTTCTCACAAATTGGTCCAGTAATACAGTTAGGTCTATCGATATGGGTCGTAGGTTTACTCATCCCGTTGTTTATTTTTTTGGTCAAGTGCTAAAAATCACATCGAATAGCTATTTACGGAACTAGATGACATTGTGATGGTTCGCAGAATATTACCGCCTTATGGTTTATATGGAAAACAGTCTTGGATTATACTGTCGTCTGTGGATATGTGTTCACGTGCGCGTGTACTTGTTTGGGTTGTGATGATAACGATTATGCTAACCCAACTGTTCGAAGTCGCCTGAAAATGTAGTTACTTTTATTTTGACAAACGACGATCGTCGACTACAAGTCTCTCAGACTACTGCTTTCCTGTTGCAAAGTTGGATGTGTAGTTTTTGGGACGTTTGTAATTATCACTCTTGTTGTGCCTTGCTGATTCGCCAACCTGTTGTATCGGACTACTGACCCCGCCCTGTTGGTTAGTGCCGGAAAAAAGACTCACAGGAAACACAACAGCTATATTCCGAACAAGCGAGTGCGAGAGCGTGAGTGAGTACGAGTGCAAAAATACAACGGCCTCAAGCTACCTATTGGAGGGACACTGTCTGACCTCAGTCAACGCTGACTCACGCTGTCTGGGGTTGATGCAAGGCTGTGACGCACTGCATATTTCGGGGGGCGTTGTCTGTCTGGTCAGCATCTAACGGAGCTGAGGGTTTCAGTAGATTTCGGGTGTTCAGTGGTTGCTTTCAGGAATCTCACCGTCCTGATGCCTCATCCTTTTGGCCGTTCAACGTAAGATTGTCGACGGGGATCAAGTTGTAAAGGTTCCACCAATTTTCTAGCGCTATCGGTACGATGTCTTTGTTGCAGCAATGGATCTGTCTTGGGCGGTACATGCGAGGCAGTGGCTATAGGTGCCAGTCTTGGGAGATCAAAGGTTTCAAACAACAGGTTGAGGTCTAGTAAATGTTCTTCCGCCTTTGAGATCGGGCACTCAGTCGGTTGATTGACATGTCGTAATTGACTGACATGTTTCCATATCAATGATCCCACCTGGATGCTGTAAATCACATGACCGATTCTTTTGGGGAGAACTCCAACAGTCCATTTTCGGTGCCCGGGGCGATAGGCATGGCGACCACATGGTCTCCAGGCTTGAACGTTAGTTTCTCTACTGTCGGCGATTGAATTCGTAAGTGTTGGCAGGATAGCGTCATGGATAAGTCTTAACCATCTGTTATTCATAACCTCTGCTTGAGACTGAAAACCGCACGCACTGATCGCCAAACGGTTGACCATTCCTGCCGGTGCATTATCCGATACCGTCAAAGTACTTTTAAAACCGAAGGGTCTGGTACGGCTCAGAAACCACTTTCTGTTTGCAGCCGCTTTAGGAGTCAGACAGCCGTGCCTTAGCCTCCGGGTTGGGTAAGCTATCCACAGCCAAGTAGGTCAGGTTGTTGTGTCAGAGGCGCCAGGTAGGTCCCCCCAAAACCTCAAGACCGTTGTACCGCTGATCAGAGGCTACGGAGAGAACCTAAAATCCTCCAAGAGATAATTGTTGAAAATTACCACTTCCTGCTTCAGTCAGCGATAGATATGAATTTATGGATGGATGTGGTAAAGTGGGCTTTTGGAGAAAGGGAGGGATAGAACAGTGATTTGAAGGGCCGAAATAACAGAAGAGATCACCGCGTAATCTGCGAGATGGAGGAGGGTCAGAAATAGATTAGGGTTCGGACGGTTTCGCCGTCGCAATCAGCAACTCATGTTGGAAAGTAGACTTTGAATAGGCGATCCGAAGGATCTATGGGGGAGGAAAACAAGATCCATTCGTTATTGTGTTCATGGAGTTTGCCTTGAATGCAAACTTCCACAATGAATTCGAACTGTTCGGACTCAACTTTAAAGAGGAAAGGTAGGGCACATCATGAGCGCCCGGAGATCGATAAACGCAGCAAAATTATTTGTTGTACCGGGTGAATTTGAACTTAGACCGAATAAGTATAAAGTTGCATAAGCAAAAGAGTCGTAGGCAGGATGCTGAGGGATAGATGAGAAATAATAGATGTTGTTTCACACTGCCCCCAAAATGCTTATTACGCTGATTGAGTGTGTGGTCCACAGATCTGAAAGTTTGGGCTTTGTTGAGGAACAGTACAAAAGGTGAGATATACGACAACATTTTGTAGGCCGAGTTAGTGTTGCAATTCAGTCTGTGGATGTCTTTAAAATCCCATGAAAGTAGAGCTAGGTGTTTCTTTGGTTAGTCTTCATGTTCGTTGACTGAATAACCAGGATTTCATCTCAACCTCGAAATAGCGAACCATGTAGGGTTCTCATGAGTTGAGTGATGTTGCCACCCTGGACAATAGAACTAGCCGTCTACTGCCTTCGAAGCAGTGCACGAGAACATAGCCACCGTGAGGCTCGATGGGTATCTCGAATCATTAGGTCAGGTTTGAGTTCCAAGGAGGCCAAACGATGATCGAGTTGTCCCACTCCCAGGAGAGAATCCTTGCATTCCTTCGTACACCCTAAATCTTTCCAGTGTACCAACGAACACATTGCATTGGTTTCATAAAGTGTCATCGTGAGCATTTGGAAATAGAGTTAACCATATAGTGGTGTATCTTGTTGCCCTTTACCTTTTCAGTTCGTTTACAGTCCTAACCGCAGCTAATGTGCAACCTATGGATGCCCTATAACGAAAAGCTTGGCTTTTTATTCCCATAAAAGTGCAGCTTTATGGCAGTTTCTCGTATAGCTTACCGATGTACAGGCTTTTCATCTTTTTCAATCCGGGTTCTTTGTATCTATGGTCTGTTTATAGGCAGTGCTATCACTAACTTGCGACGCTGGATATCATCGACTGGACTGGCTACGATCTTCGGCTATATTGGGGCCGTGCTTGGTGTGTTCTTCTGTCTTCTCATGCTGCCTCCTGATAGTCCGATTCGAGAAACTGAGCGCCCAACTTATATTCAGCCGAGGTGCGTTTTTTCGGTTGCCCCACCATAACGTCGTCACAACAATGCGCGTTCGCGTTGTGTTGTCACTCTACAGTTGGTACCTCTTAGTTTATCAGTTGAAAAAATACTTCTTTGTATTTAGTGGCCTTGAGAAGGCCGTAGTCTCTCTCTTCATTCCAACTATAAACTTTTCTGCCGATTTCTGTTCACCGTTCCAGTGTGGAGCTCGGGATGTTCGTCGCTGTCTTGTTTGGGATGGTTGACGCTGTATGGAACACTCAGATGAGCGTCCTGATAGGTGATGTCTATCGGTCATGTCCGGATGACATCCCAGTGGCATTTGCTTTATACCGTTGCATACAAGTACGCCTCTTGCCCCCTTTGGATTATTGTATCGCTTTTATTACAGTGTTGTCGATTCGCCCTCCATTCTCCTGCAGAGCGACCCTACTCAAGGGTCTTTTGATGTGTCTACCATTAAAGTGTCTATCGAGACCAACTAGTGTTCTATTATACTGGCATTTCGACCTCGTCGTTCTGTGCAGCATAAGAGATGTGACAAATGTGCCACTTCAATCTGGTATTCGATTGTTGTAGATGTTTTTTTATGTAGCTCTTTTCGCATAAGCACATGAAGAGTGGAAACGAGTCAAGGGAGGTCGAACAATAACTTAGCAGCGAAGTGTGAAAGCCATTACCAGCAAATTCATTTAACCTGGTCATCGCTGTCTCCCTAGATGGGAACCTCGAGTACGGCAGCGAAGCATCGGTGTTGAACACCGATGTCATGCTGTCGATGATGATGGTGATGAACCTTGGGACAGAACACATCAATGTTTTGGGACATTGTCAGACATGGCCTAGTCACACCCTCAGTGTCGCTCGTGCATCCAAGCTATTGCCTTCCAAGCATAGCTCCCTTCGCGATATCCCCAATGAAAAGTCCATTTACAACCCTGTATGTACGCATAAATTTTATCAGCTACAGCCTACAATGCGCAGCTACCTACCCCATCTTCCCAGGTCATCAGTGAACGAAACTGTGACAGCTAGAACCCCTGTACGGTTGGTACGCGTTTTTTTACAGCTGATGATTAGGTTGTGAGATAAAAAGGATATGAAATAAAAATCCGCGATAAAGGCGTCTCATTTGGGTCCCTTCGCTTATAGCTTCCTACAATCAGCCCAGGACCAATGCATTTTGCATCAGCCTTGATTTTCTTATGTTATATCTCTTCCTCAAATTATTAGAAAAACAGAATGCCTAAACTTCCAAGCAGCTTTCTACATGCGCAACTTTCCCGATATGCTTCAGGCTGTGAACACCCGATACATCAGCAGGAGTAAATTATTCTACCCACCGTCAGGTTCTCGGATTTTACTACAGCTTTGGGGTTTCAGAGTTCATTTTGCCTCCTTCAGATAGTCTTGTTCCTAAGATATATAATGCATATCTTGGCGCCTATGGAGTAAAATAAGACCAGGGTGTTCCATTCTTCGTTACTGGCTAATTTTCAAGTGTTGACAGTGGCACTTACCATGTTAATCAAACTAAAAATTGTGTGAAACCTCTGCAGGTAGTACAGATGTGATTCTTGTCTGTTTTATTATCACTTCAGGCTGCTAACCTCTTAATTTTGCTAATGATCGACATCGACGCAATGAACTTTCTGGTGTGGTGAACCTCTACCACTCAATTTTCCATCACTAATACAAACTCAATCAAGAAACACTACTAGGATTCTGTAGCTTTGAAGAGGAATTCCGTGAAGAATAATATATAGGATTCAGTCTTCCATTATGGCCAACTTGCTCCGACAAACGTTACATCCAGAAGTGCTTTTTGCAACTAGACGCATGTCCCCTGGTAATGCACTTCGACATGAATGTTTAAAACTACAAGTTAGCTTCAATTGCAGTTACTGACAAGTTTTGAAACATTTGTGGATAATTTTTTTTACATGAACCTCAGTGAAGTCTCTATTAGAGGGTGGCATTTTATAGTTCCCATGCGAACCGACAGTCTGACCTCACGTTCCAAAATCTATTCAGTGAACCACATTTGAGAATCCTCGTTCTGTGCCTACTCGAGTACCTTCAATAGATATAGGTCCAAATGTTTAGTTTCTGTTCCGTGTATGGTGTTGGATGGAGGGACCCATCGTTTACCTACCTCGATTCTTACGCTAAGTAAGCACAGTGGGAATGATGTTCCCCTCCTTCATACTCATGGGTTTTCACACATTTTGCTTGCGTTGGGTATTGGTGTGGGGATGTGGTCAATGTCTCCATGTAGCGTTCTTCTTACTTTCTTCACAGTCCGTTCTCGCGGCGATCACATTTTCCTACTGTAACCAACTACTGCTCCAGTGGCAAGTGTTGATTTACCTTCTTTGGGCAACATTGGGCGTCGGTTGCTATTTCTACGCCTCCTGGTTACAATCTACCACTCAGTAATCTGATATCCGGCCGTTCAGGAAGTAACTCATTCGCCGATCCGTGCTGTTATTTTCTCCGATGCTACATCAACAACCTTTTTTCTGATTTTTCATTAATATTTTACTTTCCTTACACCATGGACGGAATTTGGAAGTAATTTTGAACTTCTGTGTAAAATCGTTTTGTTATTTGATGATTTCATTTTATGAGAACATGTGGCTCAGGCAGTCTCCAGTTACTGCTCCGATGATGTTTCCATTTCAATGCAACCCGGAAATTTTTATACAAGTTTTACAAACTTTCCATTATGCGAAGCTAGGTGGATTTTGCTAATGGAAGAACTCATAAACACAGCTTATTTTTGGTATCCAATGCTCTCTTTGAATGTATTTGTCTGACTACAACACAAATCGTCCTGTCTAATAAAATGGTTCACAACAAACTTTCGACCAGAGCATATTAATAGGCTGTTTAGAGATGTCGTGGCATAACCAAAGGCTAGTTCACCGCTGTACTAGGCTATGCACACTGGCGGCCTGCCATCTTATTAAAATGCATACCAGAAAGTTCCGTACGTACGAAAAATATCCCGAGTCTCATTCAATGGAGCTGTTTGCAATGTTGATTCTCGATTCTTACCACTTCTATCTCGAACATGATAATTCTGCACTGGGATCGGACGATTTCTGGATGTTATGGAGTTTAAATCCCCAACGAGGTATCTTATCACTTGTCCAGCATACAATTGTTTAAGTGACACCGAAACGTGATATTTTGGGAGTGGATATAGTACTACATATACTAATACATACATACATATATACTACATATTATATTGTATTATATTTATGATGGGGAGAGGCTGTTAACTATGGTCGGTTGTTATCACACTCGGATCTTGCATTGCCTCTTGGTTTGTTTATTATGAATGTTGTCGTGCTTGACAACTACAGTGATGTTCGAAATTGGCCTCTCAGGACACCTCCCTTCATGGACGTACCTTCTAGTGTGCGCAAGAATTTAAGATAGCTGTTCCGTGCTCCACGCGCGTTCTTCCGCTGCTTCATAGTCCCGTTAACAAAAATTCCACTTTGATACTAGTGATAGAATATGTTGAATTACTTCCCACTCTGCATCCAATTGCACTATATGATCTTAACAACCAGGACAAGCAGCGGACTTCATCCTAACGCTGAGAGCTTCGGAATAGTGATGGTTCCAAATAGAAATACTCAAAGCGCTCGCAACAACTATCTCCTTATTAGTGTGAATTAAAACGCCCTTTTTAGCTCTGAAAGCCACGTGCATGTTGTGCAGTGCACATGTGGATTGTACACAAAAGCGTGAGGCAGCACTAGTTAGAGCAAATAGTATCGTCTGCATTACTATGGAATCTGATCCAAAACGATCTATGTCGTCTGCGTACTCGATATCTGTTATCAAAATCCCTGAGGGGATTTCAACCCCACAGGCATTAGAGGCTGAAAGTGAGTGTTCCATAGTCATATCGATCGGGAAGTTGAAGAGCAATGGTGGAAGTGGACAGCCTTACCTGACACCGCTTGATGTAGTGGACCTTCACACGTCCGCGAGAGTTGGTGTACAGTACCTTCAGGAGGGCATCTTTGCTTTATGGACACTGCCATAGTGTCCGACATTCAGCAAATTTAAAGGCAACTTTGACGTCAATAAAAAAGGAGTGTTGGTTGCAGTGTGACTATTCCAGATCCACATGGAGGCTGAATATGTGGTCGATGCATCATCTTGCGGGACAAAACTCAGCTTGGTTCCCATGGCCCTGCCTCTGTGATCAACCAACATTCGAAGGATGAGATCAGAGAACACCTTTAAAGCCACAGCTGCTTTTCGCACAGAGTTTCCATACCCCTTTTTCAGATAGGGGTGGTTGTTGATGTGTCTACTTCTGAAGGCATTTCACTCAACCTCTGACAAATACATTCTCTCAGGTGGGTAACCAGGGCTCCTCCACCTTTTTAAGCTGGAGTGAACGCAAAGCGTCCAGTCCTGGTGGCTTGGCACTTATCGGGAGGAGCATTTAGCGCTTTATCTCTTCTGATGGGCAATTGATTTTGACATCCTATTCAGCCGCACACGCCCTCTACAGGATTTGTGTTGCCGGAGGGCCGCTAAACTCTCCCTTGAAATGTTCGGCTGGTTTCCTTTTCTGTGGTTCTACGAATGAATTAATGATCTGTATTTCTTTTTCATCGTTTCGCCAACAGCTGTTTTCTTCTGGCCAGTTGATTGTGTTAGGTAGTACAGAGCATGGATGTTTCTGGTGGCCAAACCCATCGTTTCCTGGGCTTTCGTTCTTCACTAGAGCTCCATCTTTTTTCGGAGCCCTTGGTGTTTGAGGGATTTGTGTGCGCCGCCTTATATGTTGTCCGCTGGTATGAATTTCCTAGCTTCAATCAGGAATGGCTGTCTGGGCGATATCCATTGTTCATTTGATTGTACCTGAGAAGTAAAACAGAGAGGGTTGAATGCTCCTAACATAACTCCTTTCACATGTAGACCTACTTCATCCGCGTTCTGGTTACCAAAACTGTGTTCGTTTACAGCAGGGGTGGTCGTTCAGATCGATATTACTGAGCTATGGTAGTTCTTCGGTAATGATGGCACGTATCTTGCTGTATTGTGAAGGCCTGAAGGAAAGCGAACTTTCAGACTTGCTCGCACTGACGTGATCGGAATCAAATTTTGCGTCGGGCGGAACAGCAGTTTTGAGTTGTGACTTTACGTACGGCCGGTAGTCACGTGACGTAAATTGATTCATGGTGCAGTCGTTTCTGTTAAAAATGCGTGACGAACAGAATCATTGGGTGATGGTGGCACGGAACTTGAGGAGCTGTTGTCTATGCGACGAGTATCAACTCCGAATCTACCGCCCATGTGTGACTACAAGTTCGGGCGACTGACTCAGACATTCATACTACTAGCAATGTCAGTGCTTCTTGCTTGATGAATGAGCTCGGATAAATCTCGATATTAGGTATTCTCAGCGTCGGAACTGCACTCAGTTTGGACATATAGCAGCATTACAAAGAGACGCGTTTGGCACTTCGTTTGATTGAGTTGGTGGCCAAATAGCGCAAAGGTGACTTCTTATTGGAATCCAGCTCAGCAAAGTGCTTTAATATCTGGGGCTGAGTGCAGCCCTCACGCCATATATTACGCGGACCATCGCTTCTGAATCACTGAACACAGTCGTAATCATTTTTGGCGCTTTAAAATGTCCAACGTTGAGTCTTGCATGTGTATTTCGTATACACAGCACACAAACTTCAGGACAGTAACAGGTCTTTGCGAGCCTTACCCGTTTGCCAATTTGGCCCACAGTACAGACGTTGGAAGCTCCTGGGTAGGAAAGATCTCGTAGATTTTATAGTATTATTTTGTTTATTGTTAGAAGACGTTGGTGGGTTTAAGGCATGTTGATCAGATATCTGACAGTCAAATGACAATCAGACGCTTGCTTGTAGGATGGGAAGGGACATTAGTGGACAAGTAACTGGGCGGGCAAATCATACATTCCGGTTACTTAAACCGAGGAAAGGGATTTGGCTGAGGTACCCTACCTTTAAATTTTTTTTGAAATTCTGAACCACAAGGCAGCAGGAGAATGTAGGGTTTTGTCCGTGAGCCATGCCCTTAGCCTGTGACTCGAACGTCTGACTCAGGAGGAACTGGGCTTTAGGGTTTTCTTTGGGGGTCCTACCAGGAGCCGTTGACCCTGGCCTGCTCAGTAGTAGGGAATAAAACAGACATTTCACTTATGACAATGCCTCACACGACAGTTAACTCTGAAGCTGCATCGAGCTCATCACAAGGTTTATCTGTTCTTTCACCGGCTGTCATGGTCAACCTTCCATGTGAGTTCTTTAAAGCAAATCCTTTCTAACCCGTCCCAAATACTTATTCCATCAAAACGGAACGTTTCCTGAATTTTGGATCAATGAGAGACGAAAACATCAGTCCTAACAGCAAACGAATCGGTTTGTGCTTTTGTACTGTCGGACAGTAACGGTAGGGCTAACTAATGAGCACTCAGTCATCTAGATATTTCTAGCTCAGCATAACGCAAACTTGGCCTTGACAACACACCAACGATAATCGCACCTTCAAGAACCCAGTTGCATCCCGAACGTTAGACCCCAGCATTTCCTTCTCCCAAGGCTTGTGTTTATACAGAGCTGCAGTCTGTAAAGAAGCGTTTTTCCCCTGCTGATAGGCTGCAGGAGGATCATTAACAGACTAGAACTGTTCATCCAAACGGCTTTTGGCGATGTTGTGGAATATAGGTAGCTTGGCTGCTCTGCTTGATTGCTGGTCTGTCCGCCGAATTCAGTAGTTGGCAAACATGTCATTACCAATCGAGGCGATACCATCGGTGTGGAGTTGGGGGCCTTGATCCCGCACTGACGACGTCACACCCATTTAGTGATGAAACTTTTGCAGTCCAATGGCCAAGCTCAGTGAACAGTTTTGAATGCTTCAGTAAAAGTTGTGAACAACAAAGCTCTAGAGTACTGCGTCTACCTCTGATTATAGAAGACCGATAGAGACTTGACGCAATGAACCTTCACAAGTAGTCCACTCCAAAGGTGACCTTGAGGCTATTGGATAAGCAGTGGGATGTGCGGTTACATACTTATGTTGCCACATAGGATTTTCGCTAGTCTTGTGAAACGTCCAACAGTTTTATTTTGTGAATCCCGAGCAATTTATCTTACAATCAATATGAACAGTGAACATGTTTCCGTCTCTTATGCCGAAAGGCAAAGCACCCCACCATAAAGTAAGTCTTTTTTGTAACAATTCTGTTTAGGTCACACCTATAACGATTTGATTCTTATTTTTTATTTGATTTTATCATTTTTTTATTTGATTTGATTCTTATTCACACGATGTTTTACCCATATGCTAATGCGTATGGATCGAATCACTCGATCTAAAGCCATCACTCAAGCAGGCATATCTAAAAGTCTGTGGCACGAACTTTCGTTTAACATTGAATCACTCATTTTAGTTGTCAAGACGCGATCACTACCGACCACGATGTCTAGTTCGAATCAGCTCTGTTCAAGCAATCGACTAAGATTTTGGATTGCAACCGCATCCGAACAATAGCCTGTCACCCATAATAGGTTTGATGATCGTTTCCCTCAGCGGCTCAAAGAGATGTTATGCGCGCCTAAAGATCCAGGCTGGACTGAACGATTACCTAGAGTTATCCTCCTAAGCTTGATATGGAGCATAGGCCAGCATCACTCTTATATGACGTTACCATGCAATTGTCGGCGAGTCTTCGCACCACGGCCCCACAGAAGATAGTATATGCTGCCAAGCCGCCTAGTTCCCAGAATAATACCTATTTTATAGCACCAGATTCGTCGTGGAAAAGCTAA